CCCCCCCCGCCCCCTCCCTCCCTGGGCGCGTTCGTCGACAGAACCCTGTGCATTTTTTTTTATATATAATCAAGGAACTCTATCGTTTTTATTTTTCCTTTTTTTTCCCTTGTTTTTAGTTTTTTTTTGCCAACTACCGGTAGGTGTAGGCTCGGCCAGGGTCGGGCAACCGGTACCGGGAGGTTTGGGCCTTAACAACCGGAGGGTACTGGTGGTTCAATGGCCCGCAGAGGGGTTGTTGGATGGACATCAACACTTCACGTCTCCAGGCTCAGGTTCCGCTATGTGCAACCACCAGTACATGTCATACACTGGCCACGGGCTCCTTTCGAAGGCCGAAACGCGGCACCTGCCGCCGATGTATTATATCGACGGCACGCCGGCTCCGACTTTTCAGAGTAGGTGACGAACAATTCTCCACAAGGCTGCGGCCATGTACTAGCGGTTCAAGGTGCAGGTACTTGACCTATCAATGTTCATTTCCTAGCGGGATGCCTATCAATGTTCATTTCCTAGCGGGATACCTATCACAGTTCATTTCCTAGCGGGATACCTATGCATGTTCATTTCCGAGGGAGATTAAATTAACACAATTGCCTAAGGAGTAACGGCGGTGCGTGGTGGTAGTCTCAAGTAATTGACAGGACTAACATGACCACAAGCAAGAGGAGCAGAAGGGAAAAAAAGAGGAAAACAGGAACGACTCGTTGAATGGTCTCAACGCTGCATTTAGGGTTTTGGGTTTAGGGTTTAGGACTAAGGTTGTAATGGCCCAATGAGAGGTTGGTGGAAGTAATTGACAGGTAGGGTTTAGGGTTTAGGGTTTCGGACTTAAGACTTCGGGTTTAGGCTCTAGGATATAGGTTGTAATGGGCCTATGAGGGGTGATTGGAGGTGGTCGACAGGACTTACATGATCACCAGCAAGAGGAGAAGAAGATGGACAACTTGTTTGATAGTCTTGATGAATGCATTGATAATGACCTGTAAAGCGCGTACAAACGCGATCCCTCGCAATGCCCTCAGGGCACGCAATGCTGAAAAACAATGTGCCAAAACCAATGCCCTGAGAAAGTCAGAAAAAAAAAAAAGACAGTCACAGCAGGCTGTGTCGACCGGGTGAGGCCTATTTTCGGTGGGCAAAACAGTTTTTGTTTCTTTTACTGTGAACTGACTGATAATTTAATAAAAAGAATAAAAATACGGTGTTCCATCATTCCTGCAATTGCCAGGTCACCCATCAGAATTTTGAAATTGTAAATCCAGAGCCTGTGACTCTGGAGATCTGACTCATGTGCGCGAATCTCTTTACCTCGTCCAATCCTGAAGACCCGAAGCGAGTCCTGTTAAATAACAATAACAGGAAGGAAAAGAAAGGAAAAATCAAAACAGGGACTATTCCCCAATTTCCCCGATCTCTCTCCATCCAAACAAATGACCATTTGCCTGAAAGAAAACAAGTGGGGAGAGAGTGGGGTACGCTTCTTTCGCTGAAGTTCACCCTCTTTTCACGGCAAAGTTCCGTTTGGGTTGTGGTCCTTGTGGAAGCACATACTTACTACTGATGATGCCTGGTCAGGATCCCAGCCAGCGTTGTGACCCGAGGATCCCCGGGGGCCGAGCCGGGGATCCCGGGGACCCATACGTGGTGGGGGTTTGACCCCTGGAACCCCGGGGCGAGGATCCCTGACCACCATCCCCGCCCAACC